TGTTTTTTGTATTATTGGTGGCCTACCAGATTCACATAATATTTTTTTTTTTTTGAACAAACGATATTACATATACTAAGGGAAGGAAGAAGAATACCACTAGACCGTAGTACTAAGTGGCCACACAATAATGTTTAGCAAGGACCAAAAAAAAAGCTCTTAAAGACTTCTAGTTTTAATTACTATTTTTAAATAAAAATTCCATTTCTATTGGTATTTATTATGACTCTCTAAATTAAATGGTATAGGGGGAGCTATTAAAATAGCTTTCTACCCCTTTTTACTTACTTAAAATATAAGCAACATCAACTGCAAAAAAAAAAAAAATCAAATAATATATATACACACACATATTAATCCATTTATTTTGTTACATCCTAGTGGGATTTGTTCTTAGCAGCACCTGCCCATTTTCACAATAAAATAATGCTAACTGAACTTAAGAAATTATAATGTACATGATCTAACCTTGAAAAGAAATATTTGTATCAATTATTTGGTACAAAGCTATGTATTATGTATACCGCCATAGTTGCCAACAAATTAATTAATAATTCAATAATATGGTATATAACCCTACCACAGCAGTCTGCATATATAATTCTTCACTTGTTTTTCCCAGATTTCTTTTTGTCCCTTCATAGAACACTATAAGTATTTGGCGGATATAAGCCTCCATCACTTTGAGAATATGACTAGGACGACAAAGATTTCTTCTTGTCCCTTCCTAGAGCACTCTGAGCGTTTCGCGGATACAAGCCTCCACCACTATGAAAATATAACTTGGACAATGAAGATCTCTTCTTGTCCTTTCCCAGAACACTCTGAGCATTTGGCGGATTCTAATCTCAACCAGAAGACATAATTGCTAATGATCAGCTTAATTAAACTTGTACACAGAAGGTATAAAAAGGAGATCGAGAGTTGTGGCTTTTGCATGAATGTTGGAATTTATAGCAGATTGGGAGGGACGTTAGGGTTCGTATCTTCCAGTTTGGTTTCCATAGAAGTACCAAGAAATTTGAGTAACCTAACCGTATAAGTAAACACAATTTATTTTGTTTAATTGTAATTCCTTTTTCTATATTTCCAACTGCATGTCAGGCGGTCAGATGAGGTGAGCTGAATTGGTTCTTAGGCTGCTTGTGCTGTTAAGCTATATCAATTGATCATTCATACACTGTAATCTTGTATATTGAAGGAAGAACAGAGGAGAAGTTTTAAAGAGAGAAATGAATCTTAGAGAGAGAAGAAAAACAATCGATATATTTCTTACATAAGGTTAGTCTTACATAGGCTGTTATAAACTACAAAGCTAACAACCTAACTAACTGATATGATAGGATTATGACAAGTGTCTCAATCTTAATCACTGTATAACATCCCCCCTCAAGATCATGCTTAGATGAACCAAGCATGAGATTGCAGCAATGAGTTCGAAAAAGTGGACTGCTTAAGCCTTTTGTAAAAATATCAGCCAATTGCTCATGTGAAGACACAAACTATACAGAGAGTTGTTTCTTAGAGACCCTTTCTTTGACAAAATGCACATCTATTTCGATGTGTTTAGTCTTTTGATGCTGAACTGGATTAAAAGATAAAGCAATTGCAGAGAGGTTGTCACAGAACAACATTAAGCAATGGTATGTGCAAGAATGCTAATAATTGTTTGATCCAATCCAACTCAGCTGAGGTGAATGACAATCCTCGATATTCCATTTCTGTTGAAGATCGAGAAACAGTTTGTTGCTTCTTAGAGGACTAAGAAATAGGATTGTTACCGAACAACACCACCAAACCAGTAATTGACCTTCTGTCATTAGGGTCCCCTGCCTAATTAACATCAATAAAGGCCTTTAATTGCAAATCTCCCCTAATGTAGGATATACCAAATTGCATGGTTCCCTTGAGATATCGTAGAATGCGTTTAATTGCAGTGAAATGAGACAGCATTGGATTTTGCATAATCTAACAGACTTGGTGCACTGAAAAGGTAATATCTGGCCTTGTAAAATTAAGTATTGTAAAGCCCCCACTATGCTTCTATATAAACCAAGATTTGTATAAGGGTCTCCATCCTCTTTGAGCACCTGTTGTAAGGGAAGCATGGTGTATCACAGGGTTTAGCATCAAACATTTCATATTTCACCAACAAATCCTGAATATATTTGGTTTGTGACAGAAACAAACCAGTTGCAGTTTTGGTGATTTGTATGCCCAAGAAATAGTGTAACGACCCTAAATCCTTGGTATCAAACTCAGCAGTAAGAGCATTAATAACTTGTGATATTGCATCAGATGCACTTCCATTGATGATTATATCATCCACATAAAGTAACAACACCACAATTTCATTTCCAACATGTTTAACAAACAATGATGAATCAGAGTATATGCTTGAAAATCCCAAAGAAGGAAGAAACCGAGTGAACCTTTTATTCCAGGCCCTAGGAGCCTGTTTTAAACCATACAAAGACTTATGCAGCTTGCACACCAGATGAGGATGAGTTTAATCTTCAAAACTAGGAGGTTGAGACATATATACCTCCTCTTGAAGAATGCCATGCAGAAATACATTGTTGACATCTAATTGTCTAAGAGGCCGATTGAAATGTGCAGCAAGAGCAAGAGTTAACCTTATTGTGGTAGGTTTAACCACAGGACTAAAGGTCTTCCCATAATCCAATCCTAGTTCTTGACTGAAAACCTTAGCAATGAGCCATGCTTTGTGCCTAGCAATGGACCCATCATAGTGCTTTTTAATCTTGAAAATCCATTTGCAACCAACCAGATTTTTGTTAGCAGGTAATGGAACTAGACTGCAAGTTCCTTGAGCATGTAATGCATTTACTTCTTCTTTCATAGCTTCTAACCACACAGGGACTTTGGTTGCTGATTTATAACTTGTTGGTTCAACCAAGGACATATCAAATTCCTCCAGAATCTTGAACATTTGCTAAGAGAGCCTTTTTTTTAATAATCCCACTTTTGCTTCTAGTTTGCATGGGATGCAAATTGAGTGGTGGAATAGACAATACCACTTGCAGAGTAGCAGGATTAAACTCATGGGATTCTGCTTCATAAGTAGGACTTATGTTAGGTGCCACAAAGATCAGAGATGAAGCTTGTCTTGAAGCAGTAATGGACTGAGAACTTGCAGAAATATCAGCTGAAACAAAGGCTGGAGCTCATAATGAGACTAAGGCTGGTATATTTGTTGTTTCAGGTGTAGAGACACTAGGACTGCTGTGAGATGAATCTGGTATAGGTGAGACAATGATGTTTTCTGAAGAAACCATAGGCACCTGACCATGTGAACTATGATGTGTTTGTGGTGATACAAGTGTAGTTGAATGTGTTGCCAATAAGTCTGTATATGGGAAGTGTTGTTCATCAAATATGACATGCCTAGAGACAAACACTCTCTGTGTAGGTACATGATAACACATATAACGTTTATATTTTGTGGCATACCCAATAAACACACACTTTGTAATTTTGGCCTACAACTTGGTACTATTATATGGCTCGAGTAGAGGAAAACACGCACACCCAAATATTCTTAAATGAGTAAGAAGTGGATATGTCCCAAACAACATTTCAAAAGGAGATTTATTACTAAGAACAACAGTGGGCATTCAATTTATAAGTTAGGTAGATGTTTGACAAGAATAGGACCAAAACTGGGATGGCAATTTAGCGGTTTGTAACAAAGTGATGGTGGTTTCAATGATGTGTCTATGTTTTCTCTCAGCCAACCCATTTTGTTCAAGGATGTATGGACAGGATAAATGATGTGAAATACCCTTTTCAATGAGGAATTGTTTCATTTTGCTGATATACTCCCCTCTCCATCAGATTGAAGTGTCTTAATTGTGGCAAAAAATTGAGTAACAATAAAGGAATGAAAAACAACAAATGTAGGAAACAAATCTGACTTATTTTTTAATGGGAAAATCCAGCAATGTCTGGTACATTCATCCACAAAGATGGTGTAATATCTATAACCATCAATTGACACACATGGTGCAAGATCCCACAGATCAGTGTGAATTGTCTCAAATGGAATTACAGACTTATTGACATGCTTTTCAAAAGGTAGCTTACTAAATTTCCCTTCTAGACAGGTATGACACATTACAGGTAAAGAGGTTTTTGTAAAGGGTACATTAGCTTTATTCAACATCAGAGAAACAACATTCTTTGAGAGATGCTCTAACCTATGATGCCAGATATTAGACTGCACAAGTTGTCCAAGAAGTGCCTTAGCTGAATAGATATTTTGTGAGGTTGAAGGTGTCAAGGAGTGGATAGGGTACAACTCATTACTGCACAAGCCTTTGTAAAGGATCCTCCCTGTGGGCTTTGTCCTAAATCCAAAAACAATAAGCATAAAAAAATAAGCCAACAATTGTTATCAAGACAAATTCGATGTACTGATAGAAGGTTCTGAGTTAATTGAGGAACATGGAGCACAGTTTGAGTGAAAAAACTGGTGTATGAATAGTTAAAAGACCAACATGAGATACTGTCAAACCTTCATCGTTTGCAGTTTGAATTGTTTCATTTGTTAGATATGGCGATGCTAGAGACAGGTTGGTCAAATCCGCTGTCATATGATTAGTTGCTCTGGAATCAGTGATCCACACCTGAGGATAACCTTGAGAACTGGATGACTGAGATGCAGAATTAAGCACTGTGTGCATTGCTTGCATAGGAGGTTGCTAGGATTGAAACTGTGAAAGTGTGAATAAAGAGTAGTTGACAGTATGTGGTTGCATATGATAAGATGACTGCGAAGAATAAGCTCCAGTATTATGCATCCCAATATAATTTGGACCCTTGTCATTATAAAAGCAATACCAGGTGGTATGATTACTTCTACCACAAATCTGACATTTGTTTCTCTCAGGGGAAGGAGATCCACAAAATAAAGCAGTGTGACCCTCGGAGTTACATAACTGGCATATTTGAATCATTGGTGCAGAATGACTACCAAACTATGAACCAGGTGACTGACCAAGTAGTCCAGGATTAGAGTTGGGAAGCACATGTGTTTGAGTAGAAAACACAGGTTTAGCATTATAAAATCTAGAGCCCTGATTGAATCTGCCTTTACTCTTGTTCTTATTCCCAGTATATGGTTTGAAACCTCCAATAGCAAACTGAGATTGACCAGGAGTGTGAGAGAAACCACGAGTATGAAAATTAGAGCCTTTTGAAGCAGATGGGCCTGTGTTAACAACCATAGCTGTCATGAAAGGTGCAATGGTGGAATTATCAACAATGGCTTCTTCTGCAAGCAAATGTGATTTGAAGTCTTTAAGTGAAATCACACTTTCACGCCCCCTTATGACACATTTGAAGGTGTTATACTTAGCTAGTAGCCCATTCACTGCAAGGATTACAATGTCTTCATCTACAAAATACACTCCAGCAGCAAAAAGATAGTCCCTAGCTTCCTTAATTTGATGGAAGTACTGAGAAACTAAATCGGATCCCTTCTTAATTGTCTGCAAATTAGACTTCATTTGAAAAATGTTAGTTCTAGACACAGTGGAAAATTGTTCCCTTAACCTAACCCACAAATCTTTGGAGCTAGTGCTACCAATGGCACAGGACAGAGCAATAGGGGATAACATTGCAGTAATCAATTGCATAATGGCTCTATCATGCATTTTCCACACGACATATTCATCATTCGCAGCAGTAGAAGAAGTAACAGGAGAATTGTTACCAGATTTGCCAGACATCGAGACATGTTGAGATGGGTAGGGAGTAGAGCCATCAACATACCCCATGATTCCATTGCTTTCGAGTAAAAGCTACATCTGAAAGTGCCAATTGAGGTAGTTTGAATCATCAAGCTTGACATTAATCGACGTAGAGATGGACGGAATGAGAGCCATAACCAAAGATTGAAGCAGCTGAAGTTGCGAAGCAGTTACCATCATGATTCCAAGCTCCAATTACCATTGAGACAATACAACAAACACGTGGTGTGCAATATGTATAGAAAACCGATCAAGAACTGAAGATCGATACCAAAACCCTAGACATTGTAGAAACAAGAAATTGGAGAAGACGAAGTACTGAATCGAAGAAGATAATCGATCCGAGAAAGAATGTGCGAAAGCAGAAAAGGATCGAAACATCACACGTAAGCTACAATGGCAATTGATACCATGTTAAGCTATATCAATTGATCATTCATACACTGTAATCTTGTATATTGAAGGAAGAACAGAGGAGAAGTTTTAGAAAGAGAAAAAAATCTTAGAGACAGACGAAGAACAATCTGTATATTTCTTAATCAGTAAGTAATTACATGAGGTTAGTCTTATATAAGCTATTATAAGCTACAAAGCTAACAACCTAACTAACTGATATGATAGGATTATGACAAGTGCCTCAATCTTAAGCACTATACTCTAACATGTGCAACGCAGTTATGAAGAAATCTTTAACGATGTTTTGATTGCGGATGCATGTGATTGCTTGGGGGATTTCTCCTCCTGTATCATACACATATTTTCCTGGAAAATGAGAACACGTTTTTGAGTAGGATCTTTCTTATATTAATTAAGTTAATACATGGATAATTACTTTATATATGGGAAATTTCTGTCAACATCTTTTCTCTCCATTGTTAATTTATGTTGTTTCTCTGTGATAGAATTTTCTTCTCTCTCTCTCTCTCTCTCTCTCTCTCTCTCTCTCTTTCTCTCTCTCTCTCTCTCTCTCTCTCTCTCTCTGTGTGTTTGTATATCCGTGTGTGTGTATATTGACTGTCAACCATTTTGGTGCTTTGGATTTTGGCCCTTACAATTCATTATTTTTTGATAAAAACCCATATATCTTTAAAGATCCAATTGAAGCCCAAATTTAAAACTTGCAAACATATAGGAACATTATTGACCTATTAATGCAATTTATTTACACTCATGCCACTTATACTTTATGGTCCCTTTTTCAAATTACTAAATTTATGCCAAATTAAAAGTAGTAGAAAAAGTGAAATAAAATGAAAAAAGTGTTTGCATTAACCGTATCTATGTTAAACTAGAAAAGTAGTTTTTTTTTTTTTCATGATATATTTTGTAGCAATTTTATCCATATTAATTGGCAGGTAAATTAGTTTGTTCCAATTATTTAAAAAAAAATAATGCACCTATATTATATATTTTGAATCAAATAACATTCCTCTAACTTGTAGGTAAATTATTTTCTATGTATTGTTATATATGTTAGACACGTTTTGTTGTTGTATAAACTTGAGTGGAACATAATATTGTTGATTTTATACATTAAACTGCATTTCTTTTGTTATAGGTAAATTATTTTCCATGTACAAGTACTAATGTTGACACACCCCGATCAAGATCGAGGCATGCTGGCCGTCACGTGGAAGTGACGTAACCGAGTGCACAATGCGGAAGCTAATAAAATAATAATAGAAATAGTACGAATAATTAAAAACTAGCGTTACACAAAGTAATAAAACAAGTGCAAGTGAGTGTGAACCCTAAGTTTAGAGCCAACAAGCCTAAAGCAGTCCAAAAGCAACGACACAACAAAAGCACACCCGAAGGTGGTCCTACACTGGTGACGGTCTGTCAGATATGCCGGGAAAGTCCTCAGGGAATCCACCAAACGTGCTAGCCAACTAGAACCTGGAGGGGTGCAAAACAAAAGTGTGAGTGGGCAAAAACAAAACTTTTCGAAAACCAATTCAATAAATAAGTTCTAACCCCTTGCCGTAAAACCTGTATACTTCCCAGAAAATAGAATATAGATATATATATATAACATGCTCAAAAAGCGTGCCATGCAATATGCCTCGAAGTAATATGCCAATGCTCAGGAAACATCGATCAATAACAAGTAACTGTCAGCCGGAGTCACCTAACGTGACCTGTACGGCTGAATCTAGAGCTCGAATCTCCATCTCACTAGCTATACCTGCACACGAGTCGGAACCACCTATAGTGGTCTATACGACAGGCCTGGGTGTAATATAAATACGCTCTAGTGCTACGATCACGTGAAGGCTGAGCGAATAATCGCGGGTCACCTATGAGTCGGAACCACCTAAAGTGGTCTGTACGACAGGACTGTGCACCTAACATGGATCCAAGATGAGCATGTGGTGCGGGAGGTGAACATCACGTGAAGGACTGTGCCCTACTCTGGGCGGGAGCACTAACACCGGAAGTGCAGGTTACGAGCTCACTAAGTCTCTAAAATCACTATTGGATGTAAATATAAAGTCATACTCACCTGGCACTTACCAGTGCGTCCGCGGCAGCAATACACATGCATATATATATATATATATATATAACTAATAATGCATAACAAATGGCAATGTAATGCATGGCATATAACGAATAAACAATTCAAAATCAATTTCTGGGAAAAGTATAAGTATATAGGTATATATGGAAAACCAAAAGCCCACTCACTGATAAATAGAAGGGTCATAACCCCCTTGCCTCGAGTGACCACGCTCGTCCTCGGGATACGTCTCACCTATATGCGAAACAACTATAAAAACGTTAATTTTAAAGCACATAACCAAACTTTAGAAATAACTTCTCATACATTGCTCAAATGGGGTGTATGAATACACCAACGTGATCTACTCAACCTCAGGAACATCCCCATATTTTTAAAATAATTTTTCACCGTCGCACGCGCCCCCACACGCCGGCGAAGGCACAGCCACATGCGCCAGCCAAGGCACGGCCACACGCGCCGGCCACGTGCAGGCACGTGCCTGGCACCCTGACGGCGTCAGTTGACGCCATCAGGAATATTCTGTTATCCCTAACGGTAACCGTCAACGGCGTCAGGAATATTCCGTCAGATTTGACAGAATATTCTGTCGTCTTCTCTGGCGAGCCTCCGGCGCCGGAAAATCGGGAAAACTTTAAAACGTCCTATCTTCTTCGTTTTTCAACCAAATTTCACAAAATTGGTACCAAATTGAAGCTTACAACACAAGGAACACAATCATACCACTTTCAAGTGCTAAAATCCATGAAATCTCACCTGGAAAATCCCCCCAACTCCGGCCAACCTCGAAACTCACGATCCCGACGTCCAAAACCTTCAAACGAACCACCCCGAGCCTCCTAGGGACCTCACCAAGCTTCCTACAAGCTTGAAATTCCCTAAAATGTGAGAAATCACGTGTGCATGAACAGTACCTCAAATCGGACATCATGAGTTCGACGTGAAAACGAAGGTAACCTTACCTGAAATGGGTATGGTTGGACTCCCACGAGCCTCACGAGCGTGGATATGTATTTTGTTCCTTCGATCTGTGACGATTTGGGTGGTTTGTGTGTGTGTTCGTACGTTATAGGGAAAATGGGAAGGGAAAGGGACTCAGGACAGGGTGCAGGGATAGGGGAAAAGGGTGTGGGGGATTTGGGAGTGTGTGTGTGGTCCACAACCAGCCACACCAATCAAAAGAACAACCACACAACGAAAAATCTCGCTAGGGGCAAAATCGTATTTTCATGCGTACGTTTTTAAAATTCCCGGGACAGGCTGTCACAACCTACCCACCTTATAAGAATTTCGTCCCTAAATTCGAAACAACCATACAACAACCCCTAGTGATCAAAGAACAAGCGAGGATACAAATCTCTCATCCGATTTTCAGTTTCCTACGTAGCTTCCTCCACGGAGTGATTCCTCCACAAAACTTTCACCAAGTTCACCGTCTTGTTCCTCAGAACCTTCTGCTTCCAATCTAAAATCGTCACTAGTTCCTCATCATAAGTCAAATCCGGGTTGATTTCCAAGGGTTGAGGAGGTATCACATAAGATGGATCAGCAACATAATGTTGAAGCATAGACACGTGAAACACGTTATGTACTCTAGCCAACTCCGGAGGCAACTCCAACCTGTAAGCTACCTCACCAACCCGTTCGGTGACCATATATGGTCCGATGTACTTAGGACTCAACTTGCCTTTCTTTCCAAACCGTACAACACCTCTACACGGTGAAAGCTTCAGAAATACCCAATCACCAACCTCATACGCTCTATTAGTAGCATGTCGATCTGCTAAACTCTTCTACCTATCCTGGGTTGCCTTCAAGTTAGACTTGATTACTTGAACATTTTGAGTAGTCTCCTTAACAATCTCTGGGCCCACCAAAACTCTCTCTCCGACCTCTGACCAACACAAAGGTGTGCGACAAGATCTACCGTACAATGCCTCAAATGGCGCCATACCAATACTCGAATGAAAACTGTTGTTGCAGGCAAACACCATTAAATCTAACCGTGTGTGCCAAGCATCACCAAACTGTAACACTGAAGCTCGCAACATATCCTTCAAAGTCTGAATGGTTCTCTCCGACTGTCCGTCCGTCTAAGGATGATACGCCGTACTATAAAGTAGTCTCGTACCCAAAGCTTCTTGAAAAGCCACCCAAAACTTAGATGTAAATCGTGGATCACAATCAGAGACAATACTCGCAGGGACACCATGGTACTTCACAATTTTCGAGATAAACAACTCCGCTAATCGGCCCAAAGAATACTTCTTCCTCACTAGAATGAAATGTGCTGACTTAGTAAGCCGATCAACGATCACCTAAATGCTGTCAAAACCATTATGTGTACGCTGAAGCTTGTACACAAAATCCATCGTAATATTTTCCCATTTCCACTCTGGAACGGGAAGCGGCTGCAACAACCCAAACGGCTTCTTTCTTTCTGCCTTGACTTGCTGACAAACGGCACACCTACTAACATACTCAGCTATCTCCCTCTTCATAC